GAGATTGATCCAATGAAGTCGAATTGTGTAAACTATAGGTAGAGAAATAAATAAATAAAAAGATAGGCAACAACATTACGTTAAAGGAAAAAATCCTCAACAGTAGATTTCTAACGTTGTAAATGCGGAAAGCATCAATGTTCTGTGTCTTGGTGTTGAATACTAAACACTGATAGATTATATATTGTGGCATTGAGAATGGGTCTACCAAACTACATTATATAATATGGGATTGAGAATGGGTCTACGGCTGAAAACAATGGATTTACGCCGTGTCTGGGTAATTACAATGGACAGGGAAGGTATGATGTGTGCTGTCCGATGATGTCTGCTTGGGATCTGCACAAAGCATGGCCAGAGGCAGACCTCAAGGTAAGCTGATGTCCTTTTTCTAAGTTTTCATCAAGTTATTTTCTGACTTTGTATTTGCTTGTTGTGCCGAATTGTTGATGCGACCCATTGTCTGCAGATTGTTGGTGATGCTGGACACTCGGCAAATGAGCCTGGAATAGCAGCAGAACTTGTAGTTGCAAATGAAAAGATGAAATCACTTGTGGGATGACGATATTTGATGGAATGACGCTTGCTCACTTTGTTCATTTCTTGGGTCTTATATTAATATTTTCAAGTTTGTTGCTGCAAAGTAGCTCACATACCTTGTTGTTGACGCGCAATAAAGCTTATCTTCATAGACCGCTTGTACCCACAAACAATAAGATATTGTATCATTTTGAACCTTACTAAGGTATGTTCATTTTGAGTAAAGTGGAGTGCATCTTTAAAAAAACAGGTAAGGGTTAGAGACTTAGAGTTGAACCTAGATACTAGGCATGTGTTTTTGAGTAATTTTTACTTCTCTAAAAAACTTATAAATATTTTGATCAAAAAAAAGAAAAGAAAACTTATTAATAATACTAAGTCAGGTGATCTGATCCAAAATGGACGTGTTCTAAGAGGAGAGCTGAAAGTTAAACCTAAAAATGAAGATTGGAGGATAAAGAGTAGCATTCTGGTGAACTGGTGAGTGATAAAGGAAAAGATTGCAGAGTGTTAATCCATGGCTTTGAGGAATAAGGGGTGTGTCAAGCAAGTAGAAGAAACTCACACCTTCTTGGCAACATATGAATCGAAGAGGAGAGATCCACATACACAGTACAAGAACCAGTCTATCAGATGTTTGTGCAGGTAACAGTGTGACTAAGAGATTTAATGAATTTAGAGAATTGAAGACAGGACAACCTCGTCGTCTCTGGTGTAGCCATGAACCAAGAAATCGGTGCAGTTTCTTTGCCAGCCATGGTTATAAGGGTTGTAGAATCTTCCATCAGACCCCCGCAAATAACTGAATCTTTTCGCGTTCCATAATTCGTTGGTTGTAATATTCCGAGCTATCTGCGCCAGACAACAGCAACTGTTATACAATCATTTGCAGAGAGGAGAGCCAATGACTCTTAATTTTAGCTGAGATTTCCTCACCTGATACGCCTGTGAAATGGTCAACATCATTGTCGCAATGAAAATAAGTAAGTCGAAAAACATAAACACGGCAGCGCCAGGATGTTCGATGACTACATATTGAATCCATGATTCCCTGGGGTGCATCTGTGGGATGCTTTTCCATATTCCTGTTGCAGAAATAGATAGCTTTATAATAGAACATTCATTACTCTCTTTACGGGATTGTGAGGGAGAATTGTTTCAGTCGCATACTTTGAACAGCAGTTGTGCCACCAACAAATGATGTTAAAGCTCCCAGGATCACAAAGACTAAGAAGTCGCGTTTGTTCTTCTGCGAGATGAGTAATGCTATAAATAGAACGTTCACTACACAATATGTATGCAAAACAGGATGTTTCATGTCATTACTAGATTCATTGCCAATTAACTTGCAGAACGACAAGTCAGAGAGACTCATTATGGAAAGAACTTTTACCTTACCAACACAGTTGGAAATCCAGGGGCAGTGATGGTCAAACTGCTCAATGCAGCGCTTACAGGTGGGACAGTGCTTAGATCGCACCGGTCTAATTATCTGAAGAAAATGTGAGAATAGTAGTTAGAAAATAAAGCAAATGCCGATTTCTCTCCGATAAAATGGCTTCTGAGGAAGACCTTGCAAGTGGGGCAGAGTTGGGACCAGTTTCCTTTCCATGAGGGGTTGTTGAAATTGATATTCATCAAAGGATCCTGCGAACATTAAAATATAAAATGTAAATCAATTTTTTTGGAACGATACACCTTATGACTGTTTGATTGATCTATAATTGGTCTCGGCTTAAATGAGGCATAGTTCAGAGCACCTTATGACTGTTTAGACAAAAATCATAAACAACTGCACATTAATTCTTTTAACATAGAAACATGAGAAGGAAGATCAACATACACTGGCAGTCTGATCGCCGTCAACTTCATTAGTTCTTTTAACGAACCCGGGATCCTTTCTGTACAAAACAAAAGCCTAATTAGTCACTCTGAGAGCATTACACTACTCTCAGAGACACTACAAAGTATATGCAGGAGTACAGCCTCACATGTCTACCTCATTTCTTAATGAAGAAATATGCTCTTTGAGGAAGTAAAATTAATTCCCGCAGCCCATCAACCACACCAAACTAGTATATGCACGAAAATTCTGATGATATTGACAATGGCAACTAGAGTATAATTACAATAAGGATACCTGCTACAACGACGGAAAGCTATCAGTGAGCAAACGCCACATGAAAAACCGAACCATGCCCACAGTCCAACCATAGCAGTTATCTTCGGGAGATTAGAAGCTACATATAATTGCAAAAATGTCAGTAACTAAGAATTATATAATCTATTAATAAACACACACACGCTACTAATTTTGTGGCATGAGTCATTCACCTGCAACAATGGATGTGACGAAGAGGACCATAAGAATGACTATTAAGGAGAACAACAGAGGAGCATAGCCTGCTCCCAAATGTCCACAGAAGATCTTGTTTACAAGACTATTATTATGAGTTTGCATTGCCTTTGACTGAAAAGTATAAGAAAGGGATTCTCAGAAAACACACCATATCAAATGAAAACAATAGGAAAAAAAAAGAACAGTCCCAGCAAACAACATTCCACAAACTGTATGGCATTTATTTAACAAGCCATCTCTCATGTTTTGAACACTAAAATCTACTGACACCTTAAAACAGACAGTAGAAACATGTTTTTCTATCACTATTGTGCTTCACGATATCTGAAAATCTGAGCCAATTCAAATGAGGATAGTAAAACTAAAATATATGGGTTCGAGCAGTATTAAAAAAAAAATCAAAGATCTTTCATTTCTGCGTCAAGGGCTTAGATAGTACTGTACACCTATAACCATATGTACAACAAACTTTCATATGTTTTTTTTGGATGCGGCATCAGAAAATCAAAATTCAAAAAGCTTATTCTCAATAACCAAGATGTGTTCCTTTTACAGATTTAGAATGGCAGCAAGCAACACTAAACATTACGTACAAGGAACAGAGCGAGCTGCCTGTGACCTTTATCAGATGCAAGCTTAAGTGGCGTGGATCCAGTGTTATCTTTCAATATCAGTTCCTCCTTGGTTCCAGCATGAACTAATAGAGTACAAGCCTCAACATTTTCCTTAATCACGGCCCAGTGCAACGGAGTGCAGCCTGACGAGAAAAAGTGATTAATGTAAGAACTCTGGATCTAAAAGACTAGAGTAAAATATACATCAGGATATCAGCATTCTACACCATTCGCACGTCAAAAACAGTTATGAATGCTATCTTCACATACCAATTAACCAGCACCCAATTATTGGAGTTCAGAAATTCTTATCCACTTTTGCACTTATCTTTTAATATCATAAGGTAGAACAATGTTCACACATCTAAAATAAGTGTAAGAGAAACACTGGACAATATCAATCATAAATAACATCTTCAACTCTTGGATTTAACAACCTCAATAATCGACAGAAAATTTTCCATACGAAGTCATTCTTGTAAATTTCTAGAGCAGACAAGTAGCTACAGTTAAAAACAAAAAAAAGAGTGTTAAGAGTTTCCGGATTGCCTGTGTTATCTTGTCTATTTTGACACGCATCCCGGAAGAGAAGTAAGCGGACTGTTTCTGTGAATCCATTGTAAGCAGCCCTGAGTCATACAAACAAAGAAAAATATATAATTCACAGTAGTTCTCCTCAACTTGTCAAATGATAAGTAATAGAGTACTAACTGTAACTACAGAATGATCAGACATACTCAAAATACAAAAGAAAAAATAATACATCGTCTTCTTTGACATGTTAACGTCTGCTTCTCGGAATAGAAATAATGTGCGAGAATTATTTCATTCCTGTATGTCAAATATACAAAACACTCACACCAGATAGGTTTAAGGCAGCCGAAAAATCAGTTCCTAACAACTGTGAAATAACATAAAAAGCACAGAGAATTCAGTTGTAAGTGGGATAACATCGTGACCAGAACTAGTCCATGCAACTCCAAATTGATTAAGCAGTGTTAAAGGCAATACACACAACATCCATTAATTTCTTCAGTAGCCATACCAATGTAGCGGACTCCTCCCTTCATTATCTAGTGCATTATAGTCTGCCGCATAGTCCACAATAATGTGATTCAAGAAGGCTGTTTGTCCATATTGAGAAGCAACATGCACGGCCTACACAGCAAACATGTTGTAAGATAGAGAACAGCTATAACCAAAGTTCAATTCACCGGCAATCTTCTATAACTGCTAATCCTAATATATGAGCTAACTAGCATGACCCAAAGATAAAAATTATGATCCATTTCACCCTAAATATTTGCAGACAATACACAGTAGTTTCCACATTCCACAACATACTGAAACAGAAACTGATGGAGGAAAAGAAGGATTTACCCTGAACCCATTCACATCAGCGGCTTCAATTCGAGCTCCGTTTTGCAGTAGAAGGTCTGCAATATCAATGCAGCCTTTTACGGCTGCCCAATGCAATGGTGTCTGATGTATGTTATCAGCTGCATTAACATCACCTCCGTGCTGCATATATGACAACTCAAATCCATTACTACACCGTTATCCATTAATGCAGACCTAGATTTATTGAAATAAGAACAACCTCCAACATTTAGCTGGAAAGCTGGAGAGTAATTAAAGAAAACCCACAAGCAAGACGAGGAAATTGGTCTCCAGAATCAAAGGAATCGCAACACAAGGGAGTTTTCAGCATCAAGCTAGAGTACCTCGATGATGTATCGAGCAACGTCGATGTGATTGTTTAGCGCAGCCCATTGGAGAGCGAAGTAGCCGTTAGCGTCGGGAAGCGAAAGAGAAGAACCGCCATGTTCGACGAGACGCTGAAGTTGGTGGAGATCGCCATAAGCAGAGGCGGAGAAGACGTCTGTGATGGTTGGCGATTCGGTAGGGTTTTGGTGAGAGTTGGAATCGAGAGGTACCACTTCGATCTCCGACGACTCCATTCTGCTTAAGAGAAATTGAAATGTAAGAGAGGACTAAAAAGCTCCGATCATGGATCTTGTCAAAGTCGTGTCTTTTCGCTTGTTCAACATTTTGGTGCTTTATATTTTTGTGACAATTACCCCCAAATAACTCAAAACTATGAAAAAATAACTAGATTAACCCACCCAAAAAAGTCTTACTAGTATAACTTAGATTTTGAGTAAAAAGACAATTAACATTATAAACTTCATTTTATTATCGAAAATGCTATTTTTATTTATTT